AGCTTCCCGCAAGACTTCCTGCTGATAGTCCAGCCATATCCGTCCGCGGGCCGAGCGGCGCATGACTCACTGACTTAAGAATTAGAGTAGGAAGCTTGGGTATTCTACACTGTAACTATAGCAACTAGCCCCAAAACCCTAAACCCTACACCCTAAACCCTACACCCTACACCCTGAACCCTAAACCCTGATGGTAGTTAGGTCCCCCTTATATCGTAGAACCTAGGGCTCGTTCTAGGAATCCTTCCAGTCCCGGATTCCTTCCAAGATTCCCCTCATAGGGGGGGGGGGGGGGCTAGGGGTTAAGGGTCTGGGGTTTAGGGTTTAGGGTTTAGGGTTTTAGGGTTTAGGGTTTGGGGTTTTAGGCTTTAGGATTTTAGGGTTTAGGGTTTCAGGTTTAGGTTTAGGGTTTAGGGTTTGGGGTTTGGGGTTTAGGTTTGCGTTCCTTCTGAGGGCTTGCCAGGGCTCCTTCAAATCCATCACGTTTGCACCAGATCTGCTGAACCCTGATCCCGAACCCCGAAGCACTGAGCCACAAATACTGTTGATGATAGAAGTCCTGCATTACCTTGAGGACCCTAGACTATGGGAGTTATGGTATATTCCATATTATGGGTATATCCTTGCCCCTTGTTTCTGCCAAGCGGCAGGAACCTCCGTCCCTGCAAGGCATAACGTCTGTGCTCTTGGTTTCGGCGCTCAGGGGCTACTATAAGAGCTTAAGTAGTTACCAATACCATTTTGGGGGCTCCTTATTATACCATTTTGGGGGCTCCTTATTAGACCATTTTGGGGGCTCCTTATTATACCATTTTGGGGGCTCCTTATTATACCATTTTGGGGGCTCCTTAATATACCATATTATACCATTTTGGGGGCTCCTTATTATGATTACGTTATTCTAATTAGCAAGGCCCCTATATTGACGAATCTTAACTGGGTCACGGCTTGGCGAGGGCAGCGTAAGGTCAGGGCTTGAGTTAGGTGTTGATTGCAGCATCCTGTGTTCCAGACCCAAGAGTAACCTAGGAATACAAAGGGTGCCCTTTTTGAGTTAAAGGGTGTTATAAGAGAACCGAAACCTTAAAAAAGGGAATAAGGGCCTACTCTGGGCCCTAGTGTTTAAGGACACTGACACAGTACGTGGGTGCTGCCGAAGTCAAGCTGTACCTCCCGGAGGTTCGGGTTGGGTTTGGTTTTGATATCTCTCGGAGTTTCCGGTTAGGGTTGGTTTTGGGGATCTGGCGTTTTAGGGCGTCAGGTTGAGGTTTATTTGCAGGTTTTGGTTTAGGGTAGCGGCCTTCAAAAATTACTGTTTGGGATCCACTGCATATAAGAGGGGTTCAAGATTCTCAGGTTGGGAGGATCGTCAGGCCCTATGGTACGGTTTCAGTATCCTGCTTTAGTTCGTCCGGGGCTGGGTTCTTCATTCCAGATGTGGGCCGGCTTCCAAATCCAAGATTCAATCCTGAACCCGGACCCTAAACCCTAAAACCCTCGAACCCCAAACCTCTAAAACTCCATCACCCCGAAACCCTAAACCTAAACCACGCAGCCCTCACCCCGAAAACCCTAAACCCCTCAGGCTTGGGACACTCAAAGTGAAAGCCCGAAACCTCGGAGAGCATCCGCCTCAATGCATGCAAGTAGTCAGAAGGATCGCTTGGGCCCCTGGGTAATTTCAAATTTTTTTTTATGTTCTTGAGGATTTCGCCGGTTTAGGTTCAGGCTTTAGTGTAAAAGGGTTGAGGGATGTTGCGGGTCTAGGATGTGGCGCTTGGGTTGCAGAACGGTTTCTCACCCTGAATCCCAGCCTTTGACTAGCTGGTCCATCTGGAAATCGTTGTTGGCTCGTTCCTGCTTCTTCCTGCACGGGTCACAGGTCGGCTGCAACTCCACAAACTTCGAAGGCGAGCGGATGGAGCCAACACCGAGATCCACATGTCGAACTATGATCGCCCAATGAAAGACACATGCACAATCAAGCACACTCAAAAGCCTGCATGTGCAGAAACGATCAAGCCGAAACAAGCATCCTCGCCACACACGCAGACACAGAGATACATGCATGTATGTACATATGGATGTATGAACGGATGGATGGATCGGAAAAATTGGCTGGTGGTCTGGTCTGGTTTGGTGTGTATCAATGGACCGTCTTGTATTGCACTGCACTTCGCATGTAGTGTAGTGTCGTTCAGTGTAGTGTAGTGTAGTGTAGTGTAGTGTACGGTAAGGTAGGGTAGCGTAGCGAAAGGGAATAGAATGGAATGAAACGTACTGGAAGATAGCCGAATGAAATGGCATGTCATGCAATGCAATGTTTTGCGATGTTGTGCGATGCAAAACAATGTAATGAGGTGCAATGTGATGTAGGGTAATGTAATGAGGGTGTAGGGCTGAGAGCTTTAGAGCTGCAAGGCTTTCTGCAGGACTTGGGGTTCACGGCTTCGGGCTTCGGGCTCTAGGGTTAAAGCGTTTGAGGCCCCCTCTCAAAAAAAACACTATAGTAGATAACTGGGTGGTTGTTAAAATTAGGGTCACGTTTTGTCCCCTATTTTAATACGGCACCTAATATTTAGGGTACCCATCAGGACCATCATCTTGACAACCACCCAATTCATCCTTCACAAAATCAGCCGAAGAGCTTCGGCTCCGCTTTACAGGACACCACGCCGTCAGCCGACTCACTCTTGATCATGTTCTTGTCACCTTAGGGCTTGAAGTTTAGGGCTTGGGGTTGTGGGCTTGGAGCTTACGGGGGGTTGAGGGTTTCGGGTTTAAGGCTACTTGGAGGATCATGGGACTTAGTAAGTAAGGATATAAGTACCTTAAATGGTGATATAAGTATAGTTACCCTAATTATAACCCTAGTTACTAAGTCCCATGACCCTTTAACTAAACTCTATAAATCTCCTCTTATACTAGAACCCCTATAGATCCCCTTTAAAAAAGCCCTTTAAGGAACCCTAGTTACTAAGTCCCATGATCCTTTAAGTAGACCCCACAGCCCCTCTTATAATAGAACCCCTATAGATCCCCTTTAAAGGAGCCCCTTAAAGTATAACCCTACTACTACTATCCTTTAAGTAGAGTTCAGGATCCACGGTTAGGGTTTAGGGTTTAAGGCTCACGGTTCAGGGCTGCTGTCGCCTCCTCAAGGCGCCCCAGTTGGGTTTTCTGGCGCTGTGGACGCGAACCCCCCGAGCCCAAAAACACGGGCCACCTTGTATACTTTCTGACAATAGAAAAGGATACTATTACTAAACCCTAAACCCTAAACCCTAAACCGACTCAGACCTCTGTGTTACAAAGGTTCCTACAGAAGCCAAGCGAAGGAGAACTTGCCATCCCCTTCGCACTCTTCTTGGAGACTGGAAACCTGTCGACAAAAATGAAGAAATGCTCACCCTAAACCCTAAACCCTAGACCCCCATCAAGTAAAAGCCAGAAAGTTGGAATATGATTATCCTAAGCCCTTTATGGTAAATTATAAGGTATCCTACTCTGAAACCATATTCCAACTTTCTGGAGTTCCCCTTAAACCCTAATCTGAATCCATTTGGTTTGTAACTCCGTCGCAGGAACCCGAAATCCAAACGAGCTTTGCAGCAAGCTCGGTGTACTTGTATACATAACTAAGCTTAGAGGTTTTAGGGTTTAGGGTTAGGGTTTAGGGTTTAGGGTTGAGCATCCATATGGGAGTTTCCGAAAATTCGGCGTACCTTCCTTGTAATAAGGATCCCTACTATTTGGGATACTATATCAGGGTCCCCTATTTTCAGAAACAAGATGTGGAGCATGGGTTCTGCCAGCGAGCTCACACGGTCGAAGTACGTCAGCACCTTGAAGTTGTTGCCCTGGGTGTCGTAGGCTGCTTTTGTCCTTGTCAGCACTTCTCTGGGCCCGAAGCTCCGCTCCCTGTAACCTACACTACCTGCCTCAACCCGACACGCTGAAGTCCAACAACATCACCCTGCACTCCGAAAGGAAAGACTGCGCCGTCACTCTCTCAACACGAAAGCGGACCGAAAGTTTCTTGGTTTAGGGTTTAGGGTTTAGGGTTTAGGGTTTAGGGATGATTTGCTGGGCGTCCGGAGCTAGTGGCTCGGGGCATGCAAGGGGGGCACAAGACCCATTCAAAGTTGGTCGAGTGACTAGTGACTATATAGTATCTTTTTTAGTACCTTTATATAGTAACTTTATATAATAACTTTATACGGTAACTTTATATAGTATCTTTCTATACTACCTTATCAAAAAGAAGCAAGGAGGGGCTCCTGAGGAGGAGAGCCATGTGCCCTGCTGCGAGACACTAGTTGGTTGGTTGCGGGATTTCAAAGTGCCTGGGCCTGAGTATACTTGGAGGATCATGGGACTTAGTAAGTAAGGTTATAAGTACCTTAATTGGGGTTATAAGTATAGTTACCCTAATTATAACCCTAGTTACTAAGTCCCATGATCCTTTAAGTACAGTAGGTCTCGGAACCCTTACGTCGCAAAGAAGAGCCTGAAAGCCGGAAGGACTCCAGCTCGAATTTGACAGCGTTGAGTGCCAAACTCTTATAGTAGTTAGGATTAGGGGGGAATCTTGGGGACTACCCCCTTTAAGGGGTCTCCCTAACACTACCTAGGATCTTCACTCTCCACTCACCACCCCGCGAGAAGGATCAAAGGACTTGCCAAGTGTGTTGTGGGCTCAAGCTGTCGGGGTGGGGTGGGGCTTGCGCAACCTGTTTGGGCTTCTTGAAGCATCGAGCTCTTAAGAAGTCGAAGCTTGCTTCCGCAATCCCTTCTAAGACCATTGATGTTCAGCGGATTTGCCCATGACCTCAGAATAAAACTTTTCAGACCCCAGAAACCTCAAAGTCCCTTGAACACGACATAAGAGATCCTAAACCCTCATTCCCCCAAGCCGATAACTGAACAACACGGGTCCAGTTCGCCTTGTCCCTGTCTGCAGCACTCACCTTTCGTGCTCCTGAGGATATCTGGACGGCTCACCTTGGAGCCAGGCTGTTTGGCCGAAGTTGATACCCGGATGCAGGTGCGGTGAGAATGACCCTCTGCCTAGCAGGCGCTGGCCTTTCAACGAGTAGCTCCTCCAAGACCTCACGAAATCGAGGCAATCGGCTGCGGATCCCAACAGGGACACACTCGTGCAGCAAGGCTGCCAACGAGGTCTCTTTCGGAAAAGCCCTCCGAAGCACGTAGTCCAACACCTCCCGCATCTTGAGGAGAAGCTCCAAAGCGAAATCCAGCGCAGGAGCTAGCTGCCTCATCTTCTCATCATCGGCCTCCAGCTGCTCTCCCCAAAACTGCCAGAGGTGAGTGCTATGGGAACCTGCCGTCTCCAGTGGCTTGAACCAAGCTCCCAGCGTCAAGCGCAGGAATGACGCTGCTGCAGGGTTCACCACGTCGCGCGGGTCGTCTAACTGCTTGGCTAAAAGCTCATCTGTATCGAAGAACTTTGAGTGAATCATGGAAACCATCTTCAGAAAAAGACGTGAATGCACCCAGTCCGCCAGCTCTCCTTCTTGGGCACTCAGCTGGCCATTCACGAAGACATTAACCATCGTGGAAGTCGAGACTGCGTGCGCAGCTGCTAAGCTGTACCCGTGATCCCTGAATTCCGAGAATCTGGTGATGTGCTGTGTGTCAGTGAGCTGCGCACCCAAAAAATTGGGAACAACACAGGCGACGTTGATGTACTCCAAGATCAAGCGGGCGGCATTGCGATCAGACTGCTGCTGCTCCTGCTCTTCTGCAACATTTTCACGGCTAGGCGAAACCAAATTGACTTCCCTGGGAAGCAGCTGCGTGAGGTCAGCACCACCTCCTGCAACCAAATGCAGCCGCTGAAGCAGCACCTCCAGCAGGGCAAGCCAGGTCTTGTCTGTCTTGAAGGTGCAGGTCATGGTTGTCACCAAATCAAGGCCACTGCAGGCATCCAACAGGCAACCCAAAATGTCAGAGCTCGCCTCATCCTGGAAGTTCACATTCCGTATGCGTATGGAAGCGGCGCGTGGAAAGTCTTCTGAAGCCTTGAGCTCCGCAACTCCGGCAAGTACAGCCTTCCAATCTTCGGACGGCAAGCAGAATCGCTTCAACAGGAATCCACGAGGACATATGAGACTTAGCCTGGGGCGACCAATGACCTCAGAGCTTGGACCGTTTGCATCCACATGGTCAACCAGATCTTTCAGCCTTTTGCCAAAAAGCGGGGCAAGCAAATTGTAACATTTCAACTCGCCGTTGCTGGATGCCACCTGCAGGCAGTTTCGCTCTGTGACGGGTTGTTCGGTTCCTGGCTCCCTCTCGACGATGTATTTCAAGCCTGTGATGTCATGATTGTGCAGTTCCGCCCATTCCAATAGCTTGGAAAGTGCCTGATCTGAGCCGTGAATAATGGCAGCATGGAAGGCCGTCGTGCCAGAGCTGCCCACGGGATGCAGCGGCTCAGCCAGCACACGCCATGGAGCTTGCGGGTGTGATTCCAAAGTGTACGAGTCAAGCAGCAGCTGGACGGTATCCAGGTGGCCCTCCTCGATGCAGGTGTGGAGGAGGTTGCCGCCCAGTCTTCCCACAAGTTTCAAATTTTGCTGGCGCTTCATATCTCCGCTCTCAAAATATTTCTTTAACATGGAGTCGAACTGCGGATTGTCCATAACCTGCCTGATTGCTTCTGGATCCTGTCTTTGGTCGAAGAGCAGCTCCTCCGCATGTTGACAAATCGCATGCAGATTGTTCAGAAAATCTGAGAAAACAATCTTCGCGGTCTTGAAATCACCTGGGGGAACGAATCGGCGGTCATCCTCACCACCTGCAACGACCACGTGGTAGACTTTCTGCCGGCCCATCGCCTCCTGAATGCTTTGGCGCAAGGTTGAGCTACATCGCCCTTCATCTTCCAATGCACGAAACAAGTCCCCCGGATGAAGATGCCTGATGAAATACCAGCTGTGCAATCGTATGTGACGAGCTCCTCTCGTAGGAGCTGGCTGAATTGACAGCATACGGAAACCTGACTTCTGTGTAGCATCAATCAGCTTCTTCGGAATCGCATCGCGATCACGCCATACATCGCATCTCAGAAGGTCCATCACACCATTGGTTCCATATGTTGCCTCCGAGAGCGCCATGGCTGAGCATGCTAAGCCCTACACCGAACCACGGACCTCAAACTCGAATCCCAACTCTAAAACCTGAAACCGGCTGAGCCTTGGGCCTAATGCTTGAAGGAATGCCAAGAAAACTCTGAGGCTCTGGGGGGCTTGGGGGAGTTGCCTGTCGGGTTTCAGGGTCAGGATTGAGATCAGGCGGTGAGTCGCGAGTTCCAAATCCTACCACTTAAAGGATCATGGGACTTAGTAACTAGGGTTATAATTAGGGTAACTATACTTATAACCCCAATTAAGGTACTTATAACCTTACTTACTAAGTCCCATGATCCTCCAAGCAGTACGAGACCTGGCCTCTGAGGAGACCAGATGCGGGCACTGTTCAAGCCAGTTCTAGCTTCGGGCTACTCGTGCTCAACACCGGGAACCCGCTGATGATATAAATCCTGCATTACCCATAATAAGGAATATACCAAAATTCCCATAGTCTAGGGTCGTTAAAGTGATGCAGGATTTTTTTATCATCGACCGCAGTACCAGTATGACTACAGAGAGGGTTTGCCTCCGGGACATCTTCGGGGCAAGGCGTCTTGATCGTCTCTGAACTTTGAAGCTGTTCTGCCCTGCCCATGCAATGGGGTTTAGGGTTTAGGGCTTAGGGTTTAGGGTTTAGAGTTTAGAGTGCCTGACAGTGTCTGAACCCTGCAACATCTTGCGGTAATTGTTTGAACGTGCATGGCACTTCATGGCTAGGAACGTGGAAGGGGATCCGTTCAGCTTACGACCACCCTTATCGACCCCTTTAAAGGCACCCTATTCTAATCATTCAAGCTCCCAGCCCCCAACAGTAGTCACCCTATAATGGGCTATATAATGGGTATATAATAGCTATATTAGGGGGATATACCTAGGGGTCCTTATTAAGGGTCCCTCCTTTTCCCCTTTGAAATAGGTCATCCAAGGAGCTTCTTCTCGGCGGCTTCGTCTTCCGAGACCTCTGCGCGCGCTGTCGGAGATTTAGGGTTGAGGGGTTTAGGGTTTGGGGTTTAGGGTACCTTTAAAGTGATCTATACGGGGTTCTATAAGGGATCTTTAAAGGGATCTATAAGGGTTTAGAGTTTCTTTGTGGCTTAAGGTTCAGGCTTGTGGGTTTCGGGCGTAGGGTGTGCGGTGCAGGCCTCATGGCTTCTTTGGTGTGCTGCCATGTGGCTGTAACATCAATATTGGGATGCCCAGTATCCCCTAAATATTACCCTCCCCAAAATCCTTCTAAAGTCCGTATCTACGTGTCGTACGAAATCCTTTAAGGCTAAAGACCCTACAAAAATGTCGGGATTCATGTAGGAGCCTCAAATATTAGAATAGGGTTTGAGGATGTTTTCTGATTTTATTATAATAAGGAACCCCAGAAGATAGCATTGGTAATTATTAAGGCCCCTATATTACAGTACCCTTGTAGTATACCGGTATACCTTATAGTCATCCTAAAAAAACCCTTTAAAGGAACCCTAAACCCCAAAAAAGTAAGGCCTCTGTAGCACAAGGTTTCGAGGTCTGAGGCTCTGGAAGCCCAACGCAGGCGAGCGACCGCCGGAGTTGTCGTTCCTGCTAAGGTTAGGGTTTGGGGTTTAGGGGTTTAGGAGTTAGGGGTTTGGGTTTAGGCGTTTAGAGGTTGAAGGGTTTAGGGTGGTTTAGGGGTTTAGGGGTTTAGGGTTTAGGGGTTGAGGGGTTTAGGGTTTAGGATGGTTCAGGGGTTTAGGGATCTGATCTAGGGTTTAGGGGTTTAGGGTTTCGGCAGTGTGGGACTTTGGGCTTGGGGTGAAAGGCTTCAAAGTGACCACCGGTCAAATAGCTACTTCTTCTGCATCCACTGCTCCGCGGTAGCTTCAAGGACTAGTGCTAGCTGTCAGTACAGAACAGTGACAGGAGGCAAATAAAGCAACGATTGCATGCGGTAAAACAGAAACAGTACGGCCATACGGCATGATGCTACCATGGGCGCACACGACATGTCATTCTAGCTGTCATGTTCAGCTGTCAGGCACAGTTCCTACTGAGGTAAGTAGTGGTAGGTCTTGCGATCAACATTGCCTCTCACCTGAAAAGATACCGGAAATTGCTCCTGAAAGGCTACACATGCCTTTGAATGCTAGTCTTGGAACCACTGGCAGAAGTTTACCGCGACTGCTCCTCTCCATATAAATGATGTTGGGGGCTGTCTCCACCTCATTGTGAACAATACTTGCTGCATCTGGTTGTGATGATTTGGGGGTTTCCGAAAATAGGGGACCCTAATATAGTACCCCAAATAGTAGGATCCTTATTATAAGGACCCTTAAATAAGGTACCCCAAATTTTCGGAAACTCCCATTTCTCACTCCTGTAGTGGTGGCCGTTGTGGCAGCGATCTGGGTCTCGTGCGTCACCACAGCTGCCTCACGGCAAAAAGGGAACTCCAGAAAGTTGGAATATGGTTTCAGGGTAGGATACCTTATAATTTACCATACAGGGTTTAGGACAATCATATTCCAACTTTCTGGCTTTTACTTTACAGGACTGAAAACTGGCGGGCTTGCAGTGTTGTGAATATTGGAAGGCGGTCGCCCAAAGGGCGACGGGTCTTCCATGCTCCATCTGCGAATCTTCGTTTCGGGGTACTTGGATCCTGTGCTTGGGCGGCTACTTAAAGGATCATGGGACTTAGAAAGTAAGGTTATAAGTACCTTAATTGGGGTTGTAAGTATAGTTACCCTAGTTATAACCCTAGTTACTAAGTCCCATGATCCTTTAAGTACGATTCATTCAAGCTTCGGAGCTTCTTCGCCTCAACCACCCTACACCCAGAGACAGGGGCCTCGTCTGATCATCTTTTTTCGAGGTGGTTTAGTTTTGGGTGCTCCCTAAACCCTAAAACCCTAAACCCTAAACCCTAAAACCCTAAACCCTAAAAACCCTAAACCCTAAACCCTAAACCCAAACCCACCTATTGCAAGAAGGTGTGCAGTGGATACGTACAAGGCCCCTTACATTACCCTACTCAGCAGAACTTCAGGGTCTCGGGGGTTTCCAGCTCAGTGCGCCCGAAGAGCCTAGGGTTTCAAGTACTATGATTTAGAAGGGGCCCCCACCCTGTAATAGTGGTATAATAGGAATATAATAGGGCCCTGATATAATCCTTATAGTCACTATTACAGGGGGGGCAGCTTCTAAACTATAATGCGGGTACTATAATCAGGGTACTAGAAGAACTAGTCCGGGTACTATAACAAGGCTACTGAAAAGGGGTCCTAGGGGTTGTCTAGGGCGGCCTTCAAAATAATGCAGCGGCCTGAGCAGATCCTGGGAGGCTCGGGCTCACTGGAAGCTCGACTCAGCCGAAGTTCATGGAAACGAAACTCCGAAGAAAACCTAAACCCTGAACCCCGAATCGTAGAAGACAACATAAAGCCTTAAAGTGCTATCACAACAGTGCACGTTAGAAGCTTAACAGCCAAACCGACACTCCGGAAACCCTAAACACAGCCAAATGGCTGGAACCGCAGCCGTGTACGTCGGGGAAACTGGCTGTCCTTGCCTCAGTGTCGCGCTCAGATCTGCCGGTGCTTGGGAGAAACTAGTACCACTGCCGCTGCTACTACTACTGCTACTGCTACTACTACTACTACTACTACTAGTACTACTACTACTACCACTACCACTACTACTACTACTACTACTGCTGCTACTACTACTACTTCTACTACTTCCAATACTTCAATTGCTTCTACTGATTCTACTACTTCTACTACATCAACTACTTCTACTACTTCTGCTACTTCAACTACTTCTACTACTTCTGTACTTCTACTACTTCTGCTACTTCTGCTACTTCTGCTACTTCTGCTACTTCTACTACTTCTTCTACTTCGACTACTTCTGCTTCTGGTTCTGCTTCTGCTTCTGCTTCTGCTTCTGCTTCTGCTTCTGCTTCTGCTTCTGCTGCTGCTGCTGCTGCTGCTGCTGCTGCTGCTGCTGCTGCTGCTGCTGCGTCATCTGCTTCTGCTACTTCTACTGCTACTTCTACTTCTACTTCCTGCTGGTACTACTACTACTACTACTACTACTGCTACTACTACCACTACTACTACTACTACTACTACTACTACTACTACTACTACTGCTACTACTACTACTACTACTACTACAGCTACTGCTACTGCTACTGCTACTGCTACTACTGCTACTACTGCTACTACTGCTACTACTGCTAGTACTGCTAGTGCTGCTACTGCTACTGCTACTGCTACTGCTACTGCTACTTCTACTGCTACTGCTCCTGCTGCTGCTGCGGCTGCAGCTGCCGCTGCCGCTGCGGCTGCGGCGGCTGCTGCTGCTGCTCCTGCTGCTGCTCCTGCTCCTGCTCCTGCTCCTGCTCCTGCTCCTGCTCCTGCTACTGCTATATACTGCTACTGCTACTTCTACTGCTACTGCTACTGCTACTGCTACTGCTCCTGCTCCTGCTCCTGCTCCTGCTCCTGCTCCTGCTCCTGCTCCTGCTCCTGCTCCTGCTCCTGCTACTGCTACTGCTACTGCTACTGCTACTGCTACTGCTACTGCTACTGCTACTGCTACTGCTACTGCTGTTGCTGCGGCTGCTACTACTGCTACTAAGATTCTGCACACTACTGCTGCTACCATTACCACTACTTCCACCATTGCCGTGGGAGATTTTTTCGTAACTGCGACAGACGACGACGATGGCAGCAGCAATAGCAAGGGCAACAGCGGAAGCAGCCCACGACGTCAACAGCAATAGAAAGAGCAGCAGCAATACAGTAATAAACAGCAACACGAACCACAATAAGTAATTATCCCAACAACAAGAGCAACAACAACGCCAAAAGGCTTTTGACAGTACCAATATAGCAAGGAAGGCAGACAGACGGGATACCAGCAGTGCAAACACGTGCGCCCAATTTCAACGGTTCTCATAATCAGACAAGTTGCACAGGCTGCATCTGGACCATCTGCTGGGGCTGCAC